ACGTCCATAGCAACATTACTCATAATAACTCTGAACTGGCCACTATCCAAAGTTTCCTCAAGAGTTCAATGAACAAACTTTCAAACACTCACATAAGAAAATCCTATACAACTGTGATTCTCAAAGTGTTTTGAAAATGTAGTTTGATCTGGTTGGACAAAAGGCTCGTCTCAAGATCAGCAGCATCAGTATCAGCTGAGAATTGGGTGGAAATGCTAATTCGCTTCAGACTTAGGGAATCAGAAACTGGGGGTGGGACTCGGCTTGCCCTGAAAAGCATTCTAGAGCCTTCTGACACAGGCAAAAGTGTGAGGACCACTTCTCTACAGCAACAAAACTGATGAGTTTGACCACACTGAGATCAGTAAAAATTCTGTTAGGAAATTGGAAGATAACTATCTACAGGCACATAGAAAACTAGCAAATGAAAAAACTTTTATTTATTTATTTACTTACTTACTTAAGAAAAATACAGGTTGCATAAGAAAGAAAAGAATATGTAATACAACTAACTATACTGCCTGGCTCAACTGTGCATTACAACTGTATGGTCATCAGAATGTGACATGGATACCAATGAAACCAAACAGGTAACACAGCCACGCAACATAATAGAGTCTAAAATGGATGACTTAAGAAAGAGCAGTAGAATCCTTTTCTTTAGAAAAATGGGTGTAACTCAGAAAATTGAAAACAGTGACTTTTGGAGAAAAGGATGAGGATAACATAGACCAGAGCACGGTTGTTTTCATGATAGTCCTTTTAGCAGTATTTCACTTATTAAATTTCCTGTGTGACTAATTGATAAAAATTAAAATCACACATCAAAAACAATACTGTGTTGGCAAAGCAAACCAGACAAATGGGTGATACTGGGTTAGAGCCCACCAACGTGTACTCTCTGCTCTGGGAAGCCAGAGGTGGACTGAAGAGCTCCACATTCAGAGCCCACCATGAGGAAAGCACACCAACCAGACCGGGGACAAACAAAGTGGTTGGTAGCACAGGGGAGAAGCACAGGACAGATGAGGAACGTAACCGGTAATGTCATTGAAGGCAGGGGCACAGGAGCCCAACCTGGGAGGGAGAGTATGGTTTCCAAAATACACAGGCAAGGAGGGGAGGAAAATGCAGTGTGTGTTTTGAAAATGCAGAGTAGTTTGCTCTGGCTGAACAAAGGTCTGTTCTACCCAGGGAATGTTGAAACAATGGCCCCATTTCTCAAGACTAGGTCTTGGGAAGCATAACCTTCATGGGTAGTTAAGGTAGTTAGAGAGGTGATAAGTCTGGGGTACTGAGGGTAGAGTCCTGGGTTTTTGTTTTTCTGCTTTGTCCTGAGATTCTGTCACCAGTAAACAAAGAAGAATTTACTGTGGAGCTGATGATACTGAGGCTTCAAGGCCCTTTATTTGAGTGAGGCTCTGCTAGGGACCATAGCAAAATGTTAACATGGTGACACATAAACACCTTTTTTTAAGTTTTCAAAAGTCAGCTCCTCTGACTGTA